CCGCTCCGCACGCGCGCCTGCGTTGCGGGTCGGCCTACCCACGGTCTGCGGGCGCTGAGGTAGGCACCACCGCTCCGCACGCGCGCCTGCGTTGTGGGTTGGCCTACCACCAACTTGCGAGCTCAAAGAGGAACTTACCCTGCAGGTCGGCCACGGTGGCATCGCGAAGGGACTTCTTCCCCAGGGCCTGGGCGGCCTGCTCGCACTGCCGGCGTCGGGTGGGGTACTCGCTGCCCGACAGCTCGTGCTTGACGTTGGAGTTGGTGACCAGCACCACCAGTTCGGGGTCCTCCAGCGGCACCAGCCGCGACTCGAGGGACCTGCCGACAGGCCGCAGCAGTTTGTGAAATGCCCCGCCCCACTGCCCTCGACGGGGACCACGCTCCGACTCACCGACAGTCGATGAGCAGCGCGTTGCCCTGCTTGCCCATGACGGAGATGAACTGGTCCATGATGCCGCACGGCATGCCGGCGAACTCGTGCTCCGCCTTCTGGCACACTAGGGCCTTATCAGCCAACCTGCGAATAAGATGCGGATCATGTACCACCACCACCTTCACCTCAAAGACGGGGCGACTCCCAGCGAGCGGTTCCTACCTCTGGCAGCCGCGGCCGGTGAGCGCCTCCAGGAAGGTGAAGGTGGCCACCTCCAGGGAGGCGCTGCTCGAGAGACCCCCGCCCAGCGGCACGCTGGAGATGACGACGGCGTCGAACCCGGGGCAACCTCCTGTCAAAGTCCCATAGAAAGTTCTAGTGGCTGCCGTCTCGCCGTCCGTCACGCACCTGTATACCTGGGAAGTGGGCGAGGACGCCCTTGACGTAGTTGGCCCACTTGGGCGCCCCGGGCTTGAGGGGCGCGGCCAGGGACGGCACCGGGAAGGAGGTGCGCTTCGGCCCGTCGGTGTCCGGGCTGTCGGTGCAGAGCGTGATCGTGTCCGAGCCGCTGCGCCGCCCGATCACCAGCGTCACCATGGGCAGCGCCTGCGAGTAAAAGCCGTTTCAAAAGTTTGAAAACCATTTTCTGGCCCCGACCTTTCTCAAGACAACAGTTGGGCGCTTAGGGGCGGG